ATTCAACACTCTGTCCATAGTCCAAAATGCCTAGAGAACGACGTGCGAAAGGGAAAACATTTGTCATTTCATTGATTTTGGCCACTATTCGATCAAGATGTGACATAGCTTTGGCGTTAGCATCATCTGGAATTGCGGCGACTCTTCTAGATGGCGGTCGTACTGCACATTCTGCGCTTAAGTTGCCACTCAATTTAAACACAATTGATACTCCAACGTGCAATATTTCCCGATCCAGTGCAATGGGAAAATTGTTAATGCAATGCAAGCTCATTGTTTGGGATGAGTGCACAATGGCACATAAGAAATCACTTGAAGCACTTAACTTCACACTGAAGGATCTTCGGAGAAATAACAACATCTTTGGCGGCTTGATGATATTGTTGGCAGGCGATTTCAGGCAGACGTTGCCAGTAGTTCCCCGTGGAACGCCTGCAGATGAATTGAATGCTTGCCTAAAGGCATCACCTTTATGGAATAACGTAAAAACATTATCGCTAACCACTAATATGAGAGTTCAACTTCAAAATGATCAAAGTGCTGCACAATTTTCCAAACAATTGTTAGATCTTGGAAATGGAAAAGTCCCAGTTGATGCGACATCTGGATTAATTACTCTTACCAACGACTTTTGCCGATTTGTAGACACTCAATTAGTTCTTATTGAAAATGTTTTCCCAAACATTAGTGAGAATTATAAGAATTATGCTTGGTTAAGTCAACGAGCAATTCTTGCAGCAAAGAATAATGATGTCCACGCACTGAATTTCACCATTCAATCAAAAATTGCTGGCGATTTGGTGACATACAAATCCGTTGATTCAATAACAAATCCCGATGATGTAGTAAATTATCCAACGGAGTTTTTGAACTCTCTGGAGATACCAGGATTTCCACCACATAACTTGCAACTGAAAGTTGGTACAGTTATTTTGATACTGCGTAATTTGAATCCACCGCGACTTTGCAACGGTACTCGACTTTCGGTAAAGAGACTTATGCCGAATTTAATTGAGGCAACCATTATTAACGGAAAGTACGCAGGTGAAAATGTATGTATTCCTCGAATACCAATGATTCCGACTGATCTTCCGTTTGACTTCAAACGATTGCAATTCCCAGTTCGCCTTGCGTTCGCAATGACAATTAATAAGTCGCAAGGCCAATCGCTTAGTGTTTGCGGGATAAATTTGGAAAATCATTGTTTTTCACATGGACAGTTATACGTTGCGTGTTCACGAGTTGGGAAACCATCCGCTTTGTTTGTGTTAACGTCAAACCAAAAAACAAAAAATGTGGTTTACCAAAGAGCACTACAATGAAACAATTAAATAACACTTCATTTTAGTAGGTAATTGAAATGAATTTATTACTGTTGTGAAATGAAATAAATATTTTCCTTTTCAAATATATAACAAAAAAAATTTTTTTTCTTTATATTTTAATCACCAAACGAAAAAAAACATAAAACGAATCTGGTGGCGAAACGGAGTTCGCCGGGTCTGCTAGTGTATTTATATTTATGTTCTCTGTGTTTTATTATCGAAATTGCCCCCACCTCGCTCGTCAGCAACAACTCGCGCTTCGACGGCTACGGCGCCGTTGGCCGCCGTAGACACGTTCTTTTTATGCACCGCGCTCGAACGCAAAACAACGTAACCGCAGCTCCAAGTCCGCGACTTCTCCGCACGTTTTTTTTTTGTTCCGCACTTCCGCGTTCGTTCGCACACTCACGCGACATTCTTTGTATTTTTCCGTACTGCGTACGGCACAATTTATTATTGTTTGTTTTACTGTTTCAAATATATGTACCTCGACGCTCTTGCGTCATCAACCAAAAACTCTATTCTTATTTAAACTCGTGAAACCCTACTGACGTGAAGTCAGATTGCCACAGGTTACCTCATGAGCCACCGGGCTTCTACACTTACCAAAGTACCATGATTATGAATTTGCTCATCTAGTGTGAGTGGCCCATCGTCAGATGTACCATGAAGGGCCAATTCTTGACGGTCACACAATAAAATAGTTTGAATAACCGGTATTATTATTTTTTTTTCCGCAATTTGATTAGCACATGCAGAATCGATTTTTTGACAAATATCAAACTCTTTGTTGCAATAAACGGAAATAAAATTTTCTGCGATAAAAACATTATTTTTATGATACTCTGTGTTGTTATGTATGTTAAAATATTCTATTGCATTTTTTCATTTATTGAAAGGTTTTGTAACCAATAAACCTGGTTTTTGATGTGCGCCTTTACCGATAAAATTATGATAAAATATAGCACAATATTTACATACCGCTCCAAAATCTTGCATTTTAGTGTAACATAACCATGGAAATCGTTTAATCCAATTTAATTAAAATTTTAAATTTCTATTTCCCGACGTAGGAAATGTAAATATTTCATCAGGCACCCAAACATTAGTAAGTAACTTATATTTTAATTCATCACTAACCTTTTGATCTAAACAGCAGCCAATATCAATAATATCATTTTTAGATTCCGTTGTAGTTAGTGTATCTGTAATTATTGCGGTCGATGTAGAACTTGTACTTGTTTCGTTCTCTGTTGTTTTTATTTTTTTTACAAAAATAATTTGTAAGGGAATTATTATGCTTACGATTTGACATTTTATTAAAATAATCAAATAAAAAATTATACAGAAATATTAGAGGGTTACACTTACACAGTGCGCACAAAACTGATACTAATTTGTACTAAAATATTTGAACTGGTACACTTATTTAAAGTTCACGATAAAATTATTAATAGTGCTATAACTGTGTACTGACACTATACGGACAATATCATGGAGTTTTTCGAGATAAAATGACAATTGACAATACGATCGATAATTTATTGTTCGATAACATATTAAATATTTATAGACTTTTCGTCTGCCGACAAAATGTCTTTAATCTTGTATGATTTATCTTTGTATAATATAATAATAATATTACCTATATTATAGAAATCGAAATAAAACATAGTTATTATATTATTAGGTAGGTAGTAGGGACCCAAATGGCCACATGGTAAATTATTATAGTTAAGTTACTTATATAAATTAATTTTATTAGTTTTAAAATATTTCGGGGGGTTGAACCCCTAAAACCCCCCCTCATATACGGCCTTGTAAACCATAGTTTAAATATGAAATATTAACTCTTAAATTTTCACTTTTGTAGAACTTTTTAATGATGCTATGAAAAAAAAAAAAAAAAAAACAATAAAAAAGCGTATATTTATGGTTAAAAATATTTCCTAATAGGTAAATTATAAATATATGGGTTTGAAGCGATACATACATATTTCAGATTTTATGTGAAAATGAATATTATTTGCTCACTTTTTCCGTTGGTGTTTTTGTAACTATAAATAGGTATAATGTAACAAGAATTTTTGTTTTATGTTTTATAATCAGATTTACATACAAATAAGTTTTAAGTAAATAAAATTTTTAAATATCTAAAATAAACATATTTTTTGGGGGGATAAGAATTACAAATAATACCTAATAAAAGATATTATTATCATAGATAAAACTGTATTTAACTTTATAATTTTATTTTTTACAAGTCATATATATTTCATAATGTCCTTTATGTTTATTTAATCAAGATCCTAAATCTATTGCTTTGTTCTTATATAAAATCAATTTAATTAATTTATATTATAGTTCCTAGGTACCTATTAGAAGTTTATTATTTAGAGCCTACTCATTTAAAATGATTGAATACTAGAATATGTTAAAGCTGTAAGTAAGTTGAATCATACTTAATTGTGTATATTATTTAGATGCCTATACTGTAACGTATGTTACATCATTACGTTTATTTTATAAGCTTCATAATTATACACACCACTTATATATTTTATGATTGTAAGGCTCTGGCCAATATCACTATGTAAGAGAAAGGTAGTTCTCCACGAGTCCATCACGTGCACCTGAACTCCGTACAATCCTAAATTTTTGCTAACTTTGTTCGTAAATTGTAAGTAATAATAAATAATTTGTTTGTATTAATAATAATTTAGATCAATCGTTATTTATTTGTAATAGATCCTAAAACCATTCGTGCTCCCGAGCTACGGTAAAAATATATTCAAAAGAACTAATTTCTTAACTGAATATCTTATATTTAACGGGTCATCAACGACCACGTTACAATACTATTACAATAGGTAACTATGGCCACCCAAAAAAATTTGATTATTCAAATTGAAAATTTCATCATCAATATTTTCATTTAAATTATTTTGTTTTCTTCCTCTATTATCTTTGGCCATGACTTATTTGAGTAATACACAAAATGCTTAAGAGGACGCCACACCGAAAGTGAAACGTATACAACGACCGAGAGAACGCGCTGTTAGGTGTTTTCGCAATGCGCAAGCACGCGACGTTTAAGTCTCGCCCACTACTCGTCGTCGACGGCCGGCCGACGTTTTTGCTCATTCGGGAGCGACGTTTATTATTTTCTCAACTTTCGTTTGTGGCGGGTCGCGTAAATATAAAATGCATACACGTTACACGTACATTATGCCGCATTGTCACCGTAATATTTTTAATATTCGCGCGTACTTACACGTCCTGTATTTATTGCATTTTTAGATACTTACTTCATAAAAAATATATTCAATACAGTAAATGTTATCTAATTTATAACTGTAACCTTAACTAATATTACCTACCTAAATATCTAAATATTAGTTTTTAGTAGGTCAATTAATTTTTGCGTATTTCTAAACATTATACATTTTTCACACATCATCTATTATTTATAAGCTCCTACCTCTCTACCTATTTTATAATATATAATATAGGTACTTTATTACTCACTTAAAATATATATGAAATGTTATTAGCTATCTTTCAAATTATTTTTTTTATTTATTTTCATTAAGTACGGAAACATTATATAACATTGGCAATTGGCAGACAAAATTAAAAATATCATTACAAATTACAATGACATTCATATTTTATTTATTTATTTAGTCTTTTTGCTGATTTTTTTTTATTATTTAGTTCTTGAGCCTCTATAATTCTTGCTGGTTCTCGAATATCAGACACTAATAGGCGTTTACCATATAAAGGCTCTACTATTTCCGGCAATAAACAATCCATATAGAATCTGAAAACAATTCAATACCATTTTTTTTTTATCGGCACAACAAAATATTATATTAGTATGCATTATAATAAGAACTTTTTTATAATTTAAAAAAAGTAAACTGTAATACATTTTACTTACGCAGTAAGTTTTCCAACCATTTTTGTTTCCCAAAACTCGGCATCGTAAAAAATTTTTTCTATATGTATCCATTTAGTTGCATATATAACAAAATAACAAAGATGCCTTCCTGTAATGTGTAACTGCCCCATCACCTGGTAGTAATAATTATGATCTCTTTTTAATTGCACCATCTGTTGACCATTATTTGTAGGTAACAGTGTACAATATTGTAACTGTAATTTAAAAAAAGGGGGTAAGTGAATGTCGCTCTGTTGTACAGTAGGTTACTATATATAGTGGGTCCCTGCTATAATGGATGGTGTATTGGTGTTAAACTTGAATTCAATGACATATCATTGACCATTGTACACGAAAAACAATTCTGAAATCGAAGGTCTAGGATATTTTGTACATTTTCAACTACAAAGCAATTTGCAAACATTCGATATTTTGATAAATTTGGTCTAAATTTTAACTTTACTTTAAATTTACTTTTGAAAACAATCAAAATTAACATCAAAATAAGAAATTCGTCCATTTATGTTGGTCATATATATATTATATTTCCTATAATTTAAAAAAAAAATAAGTAAAAAATGTATTTACCAATTTATTATTTACTGCTTCGGTTACATCGTTTGTATCCTTTGCAATATATGGACACTTTATTTCAAGAATAGCGTCATCGCCGACAACACCATCTGAACATTTAAAATATAATAATATAATAGTAAACATAATAATTATAACAAAATAATGCTGTAGGTATAATAATTTAAAATAATAAAAATATATTAACCAATGTATTATACACAAAAATAATTTTACCTGGACTAGCAGCCAAAAATGTAATTTCGCTGTCTACAATTAGACCACAAGTCTCAACACTTAATCCACTTACAACCTCAAACTTTTTTCGACCATACGGTTCCATTTCAATACCATGCACCATTTCTTTCGACTTTATTTGTGGATTGTATATAATTGCATGCACTTGTCGTCTGCAGCTAGTAGTTGACCTCATTTTACAAATTTCACCGAATTTGGAAGCCGTCAGACGTTTTTTCCGCTCTTGAAACGATTTTAAATTTCCATTTTGATCTCGTGTATCCAAATTTAGCTGATGTAAGTTAACAGTCTTTAATTTATTTAAAAAACAATTTTTTTTAGTTTCTAGTTCCTCCACTGATATAGTGTCCATCAAGGGCTCAGCTAAGCCGTAATCTTTATCTGCATGAGCCGATGAGCTTTTCTTTTTACTTTTTTTCATGTTATTTACAAATAAACATCTCCTATTTATTGTATTTTGTCGAATTCTATTTAAATTGTTTAGATACTTTTTTCCTATTTCTCCTGTAATAAAAACGTAAAATAAATTATGTACATTTAATCAAGTACTTATACTTTATAGGTAGGTAGTAGGTACCTATAATTTTAAAATATTACCTGGACTTTTAAAAACCATTTTTTTGTGGATACGTCGTAAATATTCTTTTGAATTGAAAGAAACTATTGCTGCTTCAATTCTAGTAGTATATGTGTTCCTTTGTGTAAAATTAATACGTTTACCACCTATAAACTTATTGATTAAACTATTAAACTGCTCACAAACATTATTGTCAACGTCTTGAATTAAGCTGCATGCATTATTAGAAAGACGAATAATAATATTTTTTATATCTCTCATCAATCCACACTTTTCTAAATCACCAACTAAATTTATTTCACTGGATTTTGGTCCAGAACAAAAATAACTGTTACAATTGTCATGTTGACCAAATCGGTGATATGGGCTATTATCAATATCTTTTCGTAGCTCTATATGGGCAATAAAGTAAAAAAAAAAATTTACTATCTGGTGAATTTAAGAATAAGTACAATAAATTATTGTAATTATATAATAAATTATTTATTAACCTGCAATTTTGTTTGACATAGATAAATCACTCGCTTTACGGTACTCTACAGTTTTAGTGATGTCACTTCTAAATCGAAGAATATTGTTTTGAATAAATTTTCTTAAATGAACGGGATATTCTGTTCTTTTGGTTAACGCTAGCAGTTTTTGTCCAGAATTTCGTAACAGGTGGTTCCTACACTCAATTTTTTGAACCGTAAAATGAGGACCATATGGCAGTACCTCATTCAAACGTTTGAGGACGCTGCTGTCACCATCACCTATTTAATTGTGTAATAATATAAATTTTACTTACTCAATTATGTATATAGGACAATATGTTTTTTTTATATACCTACCTATGAGTTTATTATACTTGAGTCCATGCATTTGAACACTGTTCAAAAACCCTTCCAGTATACCGTCAGCTTCCATACCTGTTGAACTACTTGTCCAATTTAAAAAACAATTATGTGCTGGTTTATTTTCATCTCTATTCAATGCTTTTTGACAAATTGAACAGTAACGATTTTGAATACCAACGAACAAAACTTTGCGTGTATTATAACCAATAATAGTTGCCGCTCCAGAGAATGCGTCGTATTTAGTTTTATAAGACCTTTTAGACCATTGGCCATCTGCAATGACGGTGCACATCGGTGTCCCGTCCTCATCTAATATACCATTTTTTAATGCAATTTCTCTCTCTTCGTCTCCCGCATTTTTCATTTCATCCCACGCTGAAGCATGCACTACATCACCAACAGATGATAACATTGATTGGTATGTATTGGATGACATTGGAGGTATATCGATACTAGCCGAAAGTTCAGAAAGTTGTGCATATCCAATACCTATATGAATATAATGTTATTTTATTTAAATAGGACTATTATAGGTGTTTTAAATATTTGATATTTTACCTATAGCTATTGTAGCATTTACTACTGCTTTATTTATTGGAATGCATTCAACATTTTTAGTATTTTCAGAAGATATTTTTTTTTCAATTCCGCACATTTTACATTTAAAATGGAATATTGAAAAGTATCCCTGTTTTTCTTCTTCTTTAAAAATCATATCTAAAAATGAACATTCAAATCCACCACTATGACGACTATTTTGAATTTCATTGAAAATATGACCTATATCAACTATTCTACGGCCATTCAAAATGTTTGAGTCAAGATCACTATACACAGCAAAAAAATATAAAAATTTAGTACAATTGTACATCAGATAACTATACAATAATATTACAACAACAAAATTGTTTAAATATTAAATATAATCATACTTGAAAGATGATGTACTGGGTAGTTCATTTGATATACCTAAACCATGGTTATCAATATTTGATTCGTCACCAAACGAAATATTATTTATTGTAGCAAGACTTCTTGTCAACAAAGTAGTATTTATAGGCGTAGAAGTTACTAAAGAACAGCTATCAAAAAAAAAAAATTCGTATAAGTACATTAAAATACGAAATTGGCAATAGTAAGAAATACGAAGGTATCATATAGTTAGAGATGTGGAATTTATTGGTAAAACTTAGAAACTTGAAACTTCCACCAGTTGTTCAAAGTGAAATTTTCTTCGCGTAATTTTTTTTATCAAAATATTGAGAAGGCAATTGAAATATTCGATTTTTTTTTTATAAGTGTCGATAAAATTTTTTTGGCTGAGTCAAAATACTTGAAAATTTAATAGAAAGTTTTAAATATATATTAATTTCTGATTGATTCAAAAATTGTCAAAATATAAATGCAAAATTTATTTTTATAAGCAACTAGATTTAATTTCCCATCGAACAAGATATGCAGAAGTTGAAAATCGAAGCATTATTTCAACTATTTATCATGTACACAGACACAAAAAAAATTAAAAAAAAAAACACTCATCATTGTAAAATTAATACATTCATCGTTTCACTCAGAATCTAAAACAACACACACATCATTGTAAAACCAATACATTCATCGCTTCACTCAGAATCTAAAAGGAAAAACGAACATTTTTACGGAAAAAAGTTTTCGACAAATTTGATTTTGGTTTTTGGTGTAACTCTAAAACGAACTACTGTAGATACATAAAATTTTCATTGAATGTTTATACTATAATTTTCTATACACGATATAATTTTCAAAATATTTTGACTTGTTTTGTGCCGTTTACGGTTATATATACATTCAGATTCTAATTTGTTTAGTTTTTATGTCTATAAATGTCAGTAAAATTTTATTTGTTGGGTCAAAAAGCTTGAAAATGTAATACAATGTGTATCCTAATAATATGCACATCGACGTAAATAGGTTTCCTATATAAATTACTTTATTTTTCGGGCACGACGGGCACCATAATCTTTTTTATCGGCATTTCAGAAAAAAATCAATGACGAGATACGATCGAGATTCGACACTGTACAGCAGAGCTATGTTTTTCGTTTTAGACAAGGACTAAGGAGACTAAGTTTTTAAATTTAAATTTAAACTGGTAATATGGTTTTAATTTTTAAAATAAATAATATTATGTAATTTAGGGCACTTACCTCGGTTTTTTTGATCGTCTTAGCGAAAGTGTCTTTGTGACCATACTTTTGGTTGATCGCTTACGTTTTAATACGTTTTTTTTATTTGCCATGATACGCAATGTAGCGAAAATAAAATTGAAAAAATGTGACAAAAACTGAATTTAACAGATGTGACAGATCTGTACACGTCGAATAATTCAGAAGGAATGGTTATTTGTCAGAGTTTACCTTATGATAATTCGAGAATTACAATAGTTATAGTAATATTAACCTATACTTGATTATTTATTTTTAATTTTTATACACATTTCTGGAAATACAGCTATTAGTAGTCTGATATTATTACTTCCGCTGTCCTAATTCGTTATAACTAATAATAAGTACAATTGCCGTCTATGATTGCCGATAGCCTGATTATAATAATTTTATTTATTCATTGTTGTCATTTCTATAATGTCAAAAATCCATAGGTATTACCTCGGGGCTCGGGTATTACTATTAGTATATCTAAAGGTTCATAATTGGCGCATAATCTATTCTCGGAAGCGTCGGTCGTCGCTTCGTCGGCAACCGATAACCGACCCACAACCATACGAGACAGTCGCGTAGTGGGGGAATTCGCGGCCGCCGCGGTCGCGCCGTCACAACGGATAGTAGGTGGCAGCACATGATAGCGATGGAAAATCAAATCTAACGACGTAAATATGCTGTCGAAAAACAAACGAAAAGCCATTAAAAAGTGGTTTTAGAGTAAAAATACCTATAATAAATTTTATAGAGAACAATATTTCGGAGGGAACCTCATCGGGGTTTTGTATTAATCTAAATACACAGCTAGATATTGAAGGCACAAAAACTCTTTTTTTTAATTTTTTTAAATAACCACAACTTTTTTAATAGTTAATATTTTTAAAAACTCCGATGAGGTTCCCTCCAAAATATTGTTCTCTTTAAGTTTTATTATAGGTATTTTTACTCTAAAACCACTTTTTGATGCCGATTCGTTTGTTTTCCGTGGACGTGTATTTACCGCTGAAAATGACCGGTGTGGCGTCCTCTTAATTATATTTTAGCATAAAATAAAATAAATTCATGTAAATTATACCAATCCATGACATAAAATATGTAACTTACTTCTTTACAATGATCATAATTTGGAAAAACAGAAATACATTAGGTAGTAGAATAAAATTAACTTTGATATAATATAACATAATATAGTATAATATAATAACTTTGATATATTATATCATATTGATAAAATCAACTTTTATTGGTTGTCAGAAATGTTTTACTTCATATTGCTTGAAAGATTTTTTTTATATCTGGTTAATATGCTGTTATAAGGTTTAGAAATATGTATAGACACGTGAAAGTCTTTCGCGTGTCATCGAAAATTTCTCCCGTGCCATACGTGCTACTTATTTTCCATCCCTACACTATGGGAATAGTACTATTATGTACCCATACTGAATAATATGGTATTTATGTGGGTAAGTGAAATGATTGATCTTCGATTAAATATTTATATTATACAAATAAATATAGTTAGTGCTTCATCCCTTCCAAAATTATTCGCATTTCGTACATGTGGGAGCCGGGAACATGCCTGCACCCCCATTTCGAATTTCTGGTCCAAACCCTGGGCATTTGTTTGTGCTTCGTTAGTGCTTTTTATCCCATCGTTAGTGCTTCATCCCTTTCAAAGTTTTTGCATTTTGTACAGGGGGGTGCTGGGGACAACCAGCTAGTTCGGGTCCGAAGAAATTCTACTCGTTTGTGCTTCGTTAGTGCACGTTAGTGCTTCTTATCCCGTCGTTAGTGCTCCATCCCTTAAAATTGAATTTGAAATTCCTACAGAGGGGTGCTAATTTAGATTTCGAATTTTGGGTCCAAAAATGTTTTATTTGTTTATGCTTTGTTAGTGCTTCGCTGTGTTATTCGTCCGGTCATTAGAGCTCTACTCCTTCAAAACCTATTAGCATATCGTACGGGGAGGGGGGTGCTAGTGACGTACTAATTCGAGTACAGCCCCCAAAGTTTTGTCTGAAACTCTTCAACACATTGAGGTAAAAATGATCCTTGGATGCACTGCAGTTAAATCTCGTAGTTTTTGGATTAAATTACTTAAATCTGAGTTTTATATATTACGTAATTATTACGTAAGAAAAATGCTATTAAAATTTAATATTTATGCTAATTTCTGCCAAAAGCTTTAATAGATATAACTTTAATTTGTCCATGCGTATAATATGATTTACCAATATGGAAAAATATCGTAGACAGCTGATCGATAAAAGTGAGTATCTACTTTTAAAATTCTCAAAAAACTATACCTGCGGTAGGTACCTATCTATATGTAACTATATACCTATATCCCTTACCAAAACACTACCACTTACGAATTTTATAATTCTTTTGTTGCAATTATTTAATAACTATAAGTATGCAATTTGTTTGAAGTGTTGACGTATGCTTGTTTGAACAAATATGCTTTTAAAATAAAATGGTTTGAGTTATTTGTGAATATTTGAAGTTATTTGTTAGGTATTTAACCAATATAGATCTACGATTCTACGACCTAATACTATAAATGTTATTGCGATACAGAACCAAGATCTTTTATCCATTCTATGCGTTCTAGAACGCCAACCCATGGATTATTCTATCATTGTAGGTGAAATAATATTAATGATAACATTGAGTACCTATAATATATCATTGTACAATATAGGTACGTATACTCAATGATGGTTGGTGTAATGGTATAAATATATTTTTTTTAAGTCCGGTGTCGCAGGATTTTAATACCCTCAAATGTTTTTACCCCCGGGGTTAAAATTAACCTAGGATATTTATACCCCCGGTAAAATTTTAAGGTGGGTAAAAATATCCTAGTACATTTATACCCCCCGGTAAAATTAATCAACAGGGGGTTAAAAATATACTAGGATATTATTACCCTCCCCGGTAAAAATAATCGACATAGGGGTAAAAATATACTAGGATAATTTTACGATTTACATATGATATTATTACACAGTACTTGAAATTAATATAAGCATACGTAGATTTTAACCACCAAGTTAGGTTATACATAGGTAGGTACATTATTAAATTATCATAACTGAAATATGTGTTAATTTTCGTAATAGTTATCATAATATTATTTGTAATATAAGTTATATCGTATATTTAGGTATTAGGTAAAAGGACTATAGGTATTAATTATTAAAATTTAACTGTAAATCAATTGTACTTATAATTTTATTCCTTTATTTAAAAACAGAAGGTAGGTAAAAAATACAATTAAAATATTATAAAGTAAATAATAAAATAACATAAATATAATCACCAAGGAACTTATTGGTTTAACTACCTATGGATCACAACTTTTATCATATATTTATTTTTTAAATAAATTGTATATAAAACAATTTTTTTAATCGAATTATATTTAAATAGGTATTTATTTAATAATTGGTGGATTAATATCTGTCACGACTGAGTAATGGTTTCTATGTACGTGACACATGTATATAAAATGTTCAATTACCTTAACTCCGTCTTTGTAGGTACCATTCTTACCGAATAACTGTCAACATTTACGGTAATTTGTATTCAACAAAAATTTGGTTTTAGGGGGGTATAAATGTCCTAGCTTATAATTACCGGCTAGTTAAGTATATCCACTAGGATATTATATTTATACCTACTAGGATATTATTACCCCCCCCCCCCCCTGTCGATTAATTTTACCGGGGGGGTAAATATATCCTAGGATATTTTTACCCCCCTGTCAATTAATTTTACAGGGGGGGGGGGGGGTAATAATATCCTAGTATAATTTTACCGTGGGTAAAAATAACCTAGTATATTTTTACAGGTGGTAAAATTAACCTAGGATATTTTTACCAGGGGGGGTAAAAATATCCGGAGGTAAAAATCACCTGTTACATGAACTAACTGACTAAATTACATTTTTAATACCTTTTACGTTATTTTATAAATTATAATCATAATATATCATTAATAGCATACATATTAATCATGTCCAAACGTGTATATCCAAGTGGATATTTAAAAAGAGAATTAAAAAAACAACGCGATGACAAAATAAAAATGCTCCCGCAAATAATTAATTTTTTGAATAATACAGTAAAAACAGAAAATTTGATCAACAAGTCGGTACAATGTTCATCCGTAAAAGCAACTGATATTGTAAGTACCTTTTAAGTCCTATTTTTTTTAAATAAAATACTTAAAAAAAAAAAAAATTAATTAATTTAGAACGTAATAACCTTTTTTCAAAATATAATTTTTGCTAATTCCCTGACATGAGTATATTTCATAAATTATTTTAATATACATTTTTAAGGGGCCTGCACGCGACCTGTTTTTTTGCTCAAAAACATGCCTTACAGGAAAAACTCTCACGCCTCGTAGATTGGTCCGATTTCCGTAATTTTTTTTTTGTTAGATAGAGGAAGACTTCTTACAGGGCGCATTGGACTTGGATTTTCAACATTATTTTTCTAAGTCTTATGTTACAAGTTTGAATTTAATCAATTTTTACAACTTTTTAGTTTTTGTATTATTTTTTGTTTTTAGCGACGTAATCAAAAATCGAAGTCCAATGCGCCCTGTAAAAAATATTCCTCTATCTAACAAAAAAAAAATTACGGAAATCGGACCAATCTACGAGGTGTGAGAGTTTTTCCTGTAAACTGTGTTTTGACCGATATAATACACCCTATCAACCCCCCCTAAATAGGTATTGGGTAGTAGATTAGTGGAAAAGTCTTATAATTGAGGTGGCAACTAAAATATAAAATTTAATTTTCAAATTTTATAGAATTGCGGAAAATTTGAAAAATCGCGAGCAGGCCCCTTAAGGAACAAATAAATGTAAACGATGGAGCAAAAGATGTTGAACTACAGAGAACTGATCATGAAAGTCAAATCATATCCACTGGAGAGAATAACATTAATAAACAAACTGAAACTGACATGATATACTCAGTATCAGATAAACAAAATGATTTGAGTGATTTTTCTAACTAGCCAGAGGTATTAATTCATTTTTCTAAGTATTTTGATTCATGAAAATGATTTATTTTTATAAATTATTCATTATCGATATGGTTATGCTATTACATATTAATTTTTTGTTTGAACATTTTTAAGGTACAAATAAATTTAGACAACAGAAAAAAAGATGATGAACTACAGGGAGTGGAAATCATAACCATCAGTATGGATAACAATGACAGTATAAGTAAACAAACTGCCATGGTTTGCTCAGTATCAAATGAACAAGAAGTAAAGGACTGTGTTTTATCAAAATCTAATGGTAAAAATGACCAAGTTTATGATTGGAGTAATGTTTCTAACTGGCCTGAGGTAATAACTCTTACTATGAAATATGAAATTGTAAAATTGGGGCCAATACAAATTAAAAGCTGGGATTTTCCATTTTCATCTAATGGAGAACACCAAAGAAGAAAATTCACTGTAAACTATTACTAGCGTAAATTGCCAAATAATGAAGTTATTAACCGCCAATGGCTAGTGTACTCCAAAATTGATGATTTTTTTTATTGCTTTCTGTTGGAGTACACAGATATACAGAAGTTAAAGGTAAATAATAATAAGATCGGATATATATAATATAATAATAAGTATAATGATACGATGTACAATAGTGTTACGAGGCGTAATATAAATTAACGACTAACTATGTATACCCGGCTACACTACACAAGACATATATGCTGTAGTATTATAAAAATGTATAGTCAGCGTCTGCTGAACTACAGTGTGAATATATAACTTATACACTACATTATATAGAGCGTTTTGTTTATAATTCCAACATTTTTCTGGTAAGCTATTTAGTAAAGGAATTGTTAATGATTATAATTATGATTTTCGTTTAGCAAACACTGGTGTTTATGATTGGAAACACCTTACAGAAATATTAAAATCACATGAAAGGTCTATAATACATTATAAATCTACACAATGCTGGAGTGAGTTAAAATCAAGAATTTCAACTGATACTGACTATTAATAGCAAATGTTTGGCTCTAATGGAGAGAGAAAAAATACATTGGCGAGATGTTCTTAAACGAAATGTATCTGTAATTCACTACTTATCAAAAAATAATTATGCTTTTAGAGGGCAATCAGATGTGTTATTTACAAAAAACAATGGTAATTTTTTAGGAGCAATTGAAATGCTAAGCAATTTTGATCCAGTAATTATAGAACATGTTAGACGAATAAAAAATACTGAAACACATGTACATTATTTGGGTCATGAAATACAGAATGAATTTATTAATTTAATGTCTAATATTATCCGAAATAAAATTATTAATTATATAAAAGAAGCTAAATATTATACAGTTATTATGGACTGCACACCTGATATTAGCCACAACGAACAATTGTCACTCATGATTTATGTAGTAAATATGTATGATGGTCAAGTAAAATGTCCAGACATTAAAGAGTACTTTTTAGATTTTATACCAGTTTCCTCAACAACAGGACTAAGTCTGGCTAATATTCTTTTGGATAATCTGAAAAAGTATGGTATTAATATCAAGGATTGTAGGGGCCAAACCTACGATAACGGCTCCAATATTGTTGGGAAATATCAAGGAGTACAAACTAGGATTAATAATCTAAATCCTAGAGCATTTTTCACACCTTGTGCTTCACATAACTTAAATTTGGTTCTTAGAGATTCGGTGAAAAATTCAGTTCAGGCTTCAACATTTTTTGGAACAATTCAGCGTTTCTATACAATATTTGCAGCGTCCACAAGCCGATGGGATATTCTTCAAAAGCATTGTGAATTTTCGACTGTGAAAAAGTGGTCAGAAACTAGGTGGGAGAGTCGAGTAAATAGTGTAAAAGCCCTTCGTTATCAGCTAAAAATATAATAGAAGCCTTGGAAGAAGTATCAAGAGAGGCAAGTGACACAATGACAAAAAGTGGAGCTCAGTCATTGGCAAATGAAATCAGTACATTTGAATTTATTCTAAGCTTAACTATATTTTACAGTATTTTAGTAAAAGTGAATGTTGTTAGCAAAAGTTTGCAAGGTAAAAATATTGATATAGACATCTCAACTGATATGTTGCAAAGTCTTTTATTTTTTTTTTAAATCATTTAGACAAACAGGATTTGAAAATTCTGTTATAGCTGCAAAATAAATTTGCTAAGAAAATGGTATTGATATAAACGTTAATTATAAAACGTCTTTAAAAAAAAAAAGAAAATGTTCAGTTATGAAGGCGACGATGATTTAGTAAATGATGCGGAGGCTATTTTTCGACAAGAATATTTTTTTATTTGAATGATCAAGATATAAATTCAATGGAAACACGCTTTAAACAACTTGAATCTTATAAAGATGACTTTGGTTTTTTATTTCGAAAATTGATCAACATGGCCAATACAGATATAATAAAACATTGTATAGACCTTCAAAATCGTTTAACTGATGGAGAATCAAAAGATATTGATGCGTTAGATTTATATGCAGAATTAATAATTTTTAGATTGCTTGTTACTGAAAACCAAACTCCTCTCGAAGTGCTTTCAATTGTTAAAAATTACAATGGTTCATTTTCAAATATTAATGTTACGCTTCAGATACTTCTTACCATTCCAGTCACATCAGCCAGCGCAGAAAGAAGTTTTTCTAAGCTAAAAATTATAAAAAATTATCTCCGCAATAGGATCAGCCAAGAAAAGCTTTGTGGGTTATCTATGATATTTATTGAAAAGGCAATATCGGATACAATCAATTATGATAAAATTATAGATGACTTTGCTGCAGCAAAATCTAGGAAAATTTATATCTATAATACTTATGTTTTAATTATTTATTTTAATTGTTTTATTTAATTTACTTCAGCTCAAAAATGTACTTACAAAAGTGTTTGAAGGATCGAGGGCATTCATCATTTCCAATTATTGTAATAGCATATTATATTATTGCAAGAAATTATAATAATATTATCTATGATTGTATTTCATAATCGAATGTACATGATATTACGAAGTTACAAAAAAACATAATGAGAACATAATACTATTCAAAACTATTATTTTTATGGTAGCCAAGAACGTCCTAAGTATAGTGTTTAGCAAAACGTTAATTAGTATTTCAATAAAACTGTTCCCGTTATATAAATCTGCTAACAGACATATTATTTTTATACAATTAAAACGCAAGTGACCGCAAACAGTGTTTATATTTATTGGTACTTAAGAACTTCCTTTACAATATTTTTGTATTGCCAATAGTGTAATGTTGTTTAATTTTTATTCGCAGTCTTTTTAATGGAAATAATATACCAAATTATAATAAATCTAAAATTATTTGATCTTCAAAATAAAATATATTAAAAATTTCACGATAACAGCAAAAATTACATATAATGGGTAACAATGAAACATTGTATATTATTCACGTGTAGTTGCTGCAACTTATGTTGTAACCCACATTTACATTCAACTAATAGCAACTAGCAAACCGTGTATACACTAAGTTTTAATACGGTTTTATAACACATTATAATCTACATATCTATTTATATTTAAATAATAAGTACTTACAATGTGAGAACGTCTGCACATCAAGACGATCGTTGTGAAAGTGATGATAAACAAATGTATGATTATACGGAGGTGATAACAACATTTCTAGAGCTCAAATCTTATCATTGATAATACTATATAATTTTATTCAAGTTACCCACATGTCCCAAGTAAGGCCATTTTACGGCACTAAAAAGATGTGCCGGTGTTGAGTTATTTGATTCTTAGCTATGTAACGTGCCAACCACTTCAACTCAGTTTTGATTGTATTTTAAATAAAATAACAAGTTGATGGTATATTGGTATAATGATAGTTTAATTGTATTTATTTAACACGTAAAATAGTCTAAGTCCAAATAATTAATTTATAATAATGTGGTAAACGAGATGTGACTTAGTATCGACTTGGTGGCTGCTCTGCTGGTGCTCGTCTTCTCGGCTGGTGTTCGTCTGATGGACGCTTGTCCATCGACGTATTTCGTCGTTTATTTCTAATAGCTCCCTCCTATGGCATTTTTTGTATAATAAATGGTACATAGCCGCGTACACCTGAGGTCATTTCGGGCGTCCTCTACGAAATAATGTTAATTGGGGAATGGGGATTATACGTTTTCAAAGTTATCTATTTGTGTTGTTTACGGCTTTTTCGTCTTTCCAAGAATATGGATATTGCGTGCGTATACCTATCAAGGGTTCGCTCTGTACCATTAATTAGTTCTGTGCTCTTATCGATGTAGCCGTCCGGATGCTTATATTATTACTATTACCGGGTTACGTGCTCCCTGCAGCATTTATATCTATTATTGAATATAATATATATTATTACTATTATTAATATATACGTAGTCACATCTCGTTGCAGCTAAATTTCACAACAAGATGGCCATATTTAATGTATTTCAGTATACTTATTTTAGTTTATCTAATAAATCACTGAAGTCAAAATTCAAGACTGCCTTATTTCGATTTGTGGTGTTCTCGAAGTTAACACAATCTAATCATCGTGTGATATGTTAAGTGCAGTGTCGGGTAGTAACGTTACGTAATTTTATTCGAATTATTTCCAAGTAACGAAAATGTAATTGAGCAGTGATAAACTAGATAGATAGATGTCCATCCACCTGTTAATATATATTAAAAACGAATATAAGTTTAATGAAGTAAATTCATTTATAGATAACAATAATTTTAATTTACCTTTTGTAATAATTGGTAATTTTTTATAATTTTTCATTAACTAAAGTAACAATATAGGTATCAGGAGCTTTGTATTATTTTTTTACCTAACAAAAAGCTTTTTGCCCCAACAAATAAAATTGTATTGATATTTATAGAAAAAAAACTAAAACGTCGTGTACGACGTGCTAGAGCTCGTGGAATATGCTCAGATGAGCTACACAGCCGTCGACACCATGATGGCGGACGATCCTGACGCAGTGGCCAATTTTCCCACAAAGTTCCTTAACAGTTTGCAACCGGACGGCCTACCACCGTACCGGCTGATGTTAAGGGTGGGGTGCATCGTGATGTTGCTCAGAAATCTCGATCCGAGGAGATGACTGTGCAACAGTAGGAGGTTGGTGGTCACAATTTCAAGGCGAGAATTTTGGGTGGTGACGCACAAGACGAGGATATCGTCGTGCCCAAGATATACCACTCACATCCAGTGGTGAGGACGACTTGCCCATCTTACTGCGCCGCCTTCAATTCCCGGTGAGGTTGGCATTCGCCATGGCCCATGACCATCAACAAGTCGCAGGGCCAGACGTTCGATCGGGTAGGTTTGCTACTGATGTCACCCGTGTGACGGCCAACCGTACGTGGGATTGTCGAGGGTGAGAACCGCACAATCCGTGAGGGTCGGCATGTACGGCGATTCGTCACCAAGAACATTGTGTACAGGGAAGTTCTGTAATGCGATTAATGTAGACAATAATATTATGTAAGTGTAAGTTATATGTTTGTTGTAAGTGACTGAAAATGGTCAAGGCTTGGTGACGACGAATGATCACGTCAAGGTAAGCCTAAGTGCCGCCCATTGCTGACTACAGTCCTAAATAATTCGTTTAATTAGATTTATCAATTTCACAACCTTGAATGTTTTTAATAAAATATACTAATATATTATTACGTAAGAAATTTTAGATTTTTTTTTCGGCAGCTTTAAAAAATAATGATAACCTATTTACTACCAGGTTATGTGTTCCGATCGTCTCACAATGTCTGCTATCCTACGAAGTCAGATTGCCTACCAGGATGACTACGGCGAACGTCATTCAAGGTTATTGACCTGCTAGACACAAAATAAATCGTGACGGCTATACTACACCCGAAATATTTAGCCGTATGACGGATTCTAATCACCAAACCTCCGTATCACAGTTACACAATCCATGCCCCAACAATCGGGATAGACTCAGAGCTAAAAAATTGGGGCCTTTGGATACCTGATGATATATGCTTCGCACATTGTCACATTGTCTACCTATGTAGTTTGATGACTGACAGCTGGACAATAGAATACAGCTATCGGCTAAACACTGTCACAACATTTATAAATCAAACCACTTTTAATACTAAATCGGTACCCACTCTCAGCGAGTTCAATGGGTGTCCGAGTTTCACTTAAAGCTAGTATTTTTTATAAAATCTGTTCACTTCACAACAAACTTACGATAGTTCCTTTGTAGTTTGTACACTCACTTGAATTATTTATACAGTTATAAAATTTCAATCGTCAATAAAATGTTTATCACATTCTTCGGTGTCGTTCTTTGAGTAACAATTATCTTAGTACTACTGAATTTAAAAACCATCATCAGATGGAAGCGAATTATCGATGAGTGGATTCACCAGTGCAGGAATACAGTTTGGTGTCTCTTGACGGTATATAGTATTCAATTTAAACAAATTACAACACTTTTATATTATAATGATAAGTAATAGCGAGACATAGGTAATTTTTTTATCTGGAACCAATTCCGTGCGAGGTTAAAATGTTTGCCTTTTTGACTTACCTACCTTTGACTTTTACAAATAATATTACAATTATTTGTGATCGTTTTTGTGTTTAAGGGAACAGTCGCGGACGTAGTAATGACTGTCGTGGGCACTCCCCCTCAGCCGCGAGCCGTTCGAAAATTGTTCTTCCGACACCACAGCCCGTCGTTGAAGATCCGGAAGTAAATGTTAGATCTCTGTTTTATTTTTAAGCTACAAGTTTATTGTCCAGAATTAGTTTTAAGCTTAAGCTTACTTGGTCCCTAATCGAAATAGACAACTAAACACTTTGTACGTACCTACCATTCTCGTCTACCAATAACTATAATGGTCG